TTGCCATGAAATAAAAATCTAGAACAAATCCTCTCAACGATCATGCGCTTTACATTAATGCTAGCTACAAACATAATGCACTAACATATTTACCATAACTGGTCCACAACGATAGTTCTATCTCAGCATCTGTGCAGCATTCAAGAGCCCTTCCCCATCCGAAATCTGATTCTGAAAATAACTCAGACCCCCACCAAATCCCAGCACTGCTGGCGTCCGCCCTCCGCCCCCCACCTTCTCCATAGCCCGCACTTGCGCCTTAAGGAACTTGACATAGCGGACGGCCTCCTCAAGCATAGACGCCGTGTCCATCTTGTTGCCCCCCGGCACCAGCTGCTGCAGTATTCGTATCCTCTCGCTGATCCGCTCCCTTCTCAGCCTCGCCGCCACGCTCTGCGGTTCTTTCGATATCCTCACATTCCGCCGCGGCCGCGCCTTAGCCAGCTCTAGGTTGATCCGAACGGGCTGCAGCGCAGCCAAGCAGAATAGCATCTCCTTCATCGCCTTGACGGACTGTGCTCCGGCCAGCTCTGGTGACACCGGTGCAATTCTACAGGGCGGAGGAGTGGTATGGTTGTTTTGTTGTGACGGGGGTGACGATGAGTGCTGTAATGAGAACTCGAAAGAGCTGTTGAATTGATTAAGCATTTCCATCCAATCCATTTGGGTGTCTGGAGCGAAATCCATGAAGTCGATGTCGGCCATTGTGCTTGTGTGAGCACGGAGTGTTCCTTTTTGTTTTGCTTTTGGTTTGGTCGAAGTGGCTTCCGTGCCAAGTGGGGCGAAGGCTATTTATAGTGAAAATTGAAGGCAAATTATTTGGTGCCGAGTCTGGACGTAGCACTATGTTCTGAATCCAATTAAATTTGTACACGTTTAATACCGGCATGTAGATATTTACTATGTTTTTTGTAAGAAAAACTTTTTTAAAATTTAAAACGTGTAATTTGATGTCATTTTGTTGCGCTTTTGCTGCTCTTTTACTGCGCTTTTGATGCCCTTGCGGTTTCACTGTGATTTTACTTCTCTTTTGCTGTGCCTTCACTTTGTTGCGATTTCACTGTGTTTTTGCTACCCTTCGACGAAAAATAAAATGACCTCAAAAAATAAAATCTAAATAAATCTCTGTGTGTCAGTATTACACGTGTACAAATTTAATTAGAGTCCGGACTTAGTGCTACGTCCGGACTCTGCACTAAATAATTTGTCAAAATTGAATGAGCAATGCAATGCAGCGTATTTATTGATCAATCTCGACAATGCTTTCAATAATTTCGATATGGTGATGAGTATTTTTGTAAGTGCACAGCCAGCTTCGAGGAAACGAAGGAAAATGGTAAATATTAAGAACTTAAGGTCGGCGGATTAGGCGCCATGAGCCACCGAAAGCAACGGGAAATTAAACCCCATCCAGGCGTAAAGGCGTAACGTTTTGAAAGATTTCCGCGGTCGGTAGCAGACCGCGTGGGGCCACGTTATCCGGTAGGACCGGTTCCTTTTATTGCTAAAAAATTAGAATATAATCCAGAAGGGTCCATCAAGTATTCAATTACATCCAATTATATTGAGAATATGAGAATGAGTAACAATTATCATGGGCGGATCCCCATTTAGTTGAGGGGGGCAAATGCCCCCCTCAAAAAATTTTTTTTTTTTTTAATTTTAGTGAGATATTTTGGGTATTTTGAGTATTTTGCCCCCTCTCAA